TCCCTAAGACGTTCCATGACAGTTTCTTGCTTGTTCTTCAATCTATATTACATAACATCAATATAACCATCAGCGCAAATTTGTTTAGTTCCCCCAGCTGTCACAAGCCCTGTTCCACCCCAAGGCCAATGGCAGCCTTCACTGATTTAACTTACTTTAGCAGTTTCAACAACTTTGTGTGAGCTGAGGGGAATCATATCCAAAAAAGTATGTCTGAGGAAAATTTTTCCATGGTACCTTTATAGAAGTGCTCCAACCAAAGCTGCCCAGTGATGGATTGCCATGCACTTTTGAAAGTGAGAGAATAAAAGTGGAGAGTTTTCTACAGCACATATTTTGCACATGCAGTTATGTTTAAAGCAGTATGAAATATAAAGCTCCAGAATTTTCACCTCTGAATGGTACTTCATAACTGTAGACAAAATCAGCCAATGACTGAAAGAAGTCATACAAAAGATGAGAACACTATAAGTTTCCTAAAATCTGGATTTCTGAAGAAGGAAAGTATACTCCTTCAACAAAGGAGCAAACACGTTGTTTCCCTTTTCCTGCTCCGAAAACTCACACACACAAAAAGAAATAAATCCATTCTCTCTGAATAACAATTACCTGGTAATGGAACAGCACTCAGAAATGAGTCATTTTCTGATTACTCATTTGCTAAGCTCTCTACACAGTGTTGTCTGTGAACAGTTCATAAAATGCTGATCCTCTGGCATGTGTTTATCTTTGGGCTGGACCGGAGAGCTATGCAAACAGTTTATAAAAGAGATTATCTACAGTAACTTGGGGGAATATTTGCCCGCTCTGTTTTATGCAGAGAAGCAATAAGGGCAAGCATATGCTTAGCAAAAGGAAAAACACAAGGAGAAACTGAGATTACCCACATGGTAAATTATATCAAGCACACAGAATGGTTTCTAGGTTTCTATGGATTGATTTTCCCATGAATCATGAAACAAACAAGCCACTTCAAAACACTGCAAAACTACCATGCAGAGCAAAGCAGAGGAACAGGGGGCAAATTGTAACTGCTCCAAAATATTTTGGAGATAACAAACATAACTGAAGGGCCTTCAATGAATTCCTGGGCAGACATGTCCATGCAGATCAGGTTAGAGCAGCCTAAAAATTTCTGGGTTTTTCCTCTCTGCTGAAGGATACTCTTGTCTGAGAGTAACTGCCCATGTGGGTTCTACTACTAGATGCAGAACAAAATAAATCATTTCTGAAAGCAGGAAGAATGCTTGCCTACATCCTTAATCACAGGAGACCATTTAGTGATTCAGTAAAATTCCATAAACATCTGAGAGTTTGGATTTTTCATTTCCTGCCGCTTGACTATAAGAGAGTTGGAGAAGGTACTGTATCCAACTCTTCTTTTCTCACTTTTCTATTAGTGCTGAAATGTTCTCTACACTCAAACTCACTCCTCTTAGGCTACATATCAATTCCATGAGCTAGCAACCATCCCAGTTTGAAAGGCAATCTCAAGCCTAGCTCCTGACACAATGAGCAACTATGGCACCACTGACTGAATAGGTTTGGTGAGAATTCATATGGTGAAGACATCAAGTAAGCCCCATAGGGATTCCTGATACAGAAAAATACTTAAGTGCTCAGTCTTTCTGGGTTGTTGGCAATGAAAAACACACACCACACTATTTTGTTTCTCAGACACCATGGCTCATGGAAAAACTAACTAAAATACTAAACACTTTTTTATGCTTCCTTTCACAGCTTTTTTGTCATTACTGTTGATAAGTTTATTTCTCCAGAAGTTAAGACCTGTCCTATTTCCAGCCTCAGTCAGACAAGTTATTTCAGCTACTCATTAGTCAAGTATTCACTTCACTGACCTATGTAACTTTTCATCCTGGTCCAACAATATTTATTTTAGCTTCCCAGCCAGCATAACATCTCCTTTCATGTAAACTTCTATAATAAGATTTGAAATTTCAATGTTACCTTTCAGTTCCAAAATTGCAACTCTTTATTAATAATTTTCTGGGTTTCTTTAAAGGTTTTGTTATTTTATCCTTCACTGTGGTGAGATAGGGCCTTATAGTGAAATGCTGTCTTATATGCTGCAACAAATATTCTGAAAACCTTTCATACTGTTAGTCACAGTCTTTTAAAATATCTACAACTGTGTTCAAAGAGTTCTGGCCTAATTCAAGTACTTTTATTGCCCCATGAAACTGCAGATATGCTGATTACTGAAAGACATGGTAGATATTTCATGAGGAAATATAATGAATTAGGTCTTTGCTTCATGCAAAAAGAAATTTGTATTCTGTTGCTTCCCTTTGATCACCCAGTAAGGATTGGCATCTCTACAGTGCTTTTACTGATGTTTTATCTAACCAAGAAAATTTAAGAGACAGTTTTCATATGAAGCTAAATGTTTTCTGAAGAGCACCCTGATAGGTTTTCAAGTCCTTCTGAATCTTCAAAGAATTTACACTTGAGTTATAAAGCTATACATGTCAAAGTGGTAAGTAATTTTTAATTTGGTGTCCTCCCAGTTGAAGAATTGGATAAGAAGTCATCCAGTTGAGTGATAGGATGTTCTTTGCTCGTATTTATCCCAAAAAAAAAAAAAAAAAAACTGTCACTGAATTTTTAATGTAATGTTTCAATTCAGTTGCTTAGAGCAAAATTTCTTACAGAAATGCTTCTGTGACCTTTCAAGTCCAACACCCATTTTAAACTTCATCTGGTTTCATATAAGCCTATTCCTAAGATAGAGGCAAATATTCTTTTAAATTTATTCTTTAAATTGAGAATGTTTTTCTTCTTATTAACAATTTAGCAATGCAGAAAGTCCAAATAAGAATCAGAGCCCTCGAGGAAGACACAAAGCAGGGAGCACTGAAAGGACAAGACATTCTGTACCTGAGACTGAATTCTGTTTTTCTGATGATTTTGGCTTTTGGATTCTACTGTATTTCATTCACTGCTCTCTCTAGGATGTGTTTTAACTGAAGCTCTAGGCAGTGCCCTAAAAGATTTTTCTTTTGCTCAAGTTTTATGACAGGATAAAATGCTAAGCTTACTTTATGAATTTGAAACACACTTGACGTCTCCACAACTCCTTGTTAATAAAAGAGCTCTCCTAAGTTTACTGCAAACATACTCAATGAAAATGTTTCCACCAAATGTAAACAGCTAAATTGGTCAAACCTTTACTAAAATTTGAGGTATGTTCCTAAGGAAGTGAACCATTCAGTCTGTTTAACAGTGAGACAGAGGCTTCTCATGATTTGCAAAGGAAGACTGAGGCTACACACTGATAGCACAGATGAGAAAGCAGGGCTATCAGCTTCCTCTGTCTACTTGGGACTCAGTTTGTTTTTGTTATGAGGGTGAAATTTGTATTCCTGGGTGGACAGTGGCTCATGTTCAGTGGAAAGAATAAAGGAGACTCTTGCCTAATATATTCTGCGGTATTGTGAACCTGCTGGGGTGTGGAGGTAAATTCAAACTCTCCCACACAGTACAAAATCTACATTTTCACCCTCCCTCTTCCCTCCTAAAAATGTTAGACCAGAAAGTGGCAGCTCCACCACCAACAGGGAAGTTCATTATGTCCTGATCATCTCTAGCTTTTCTGGAGGCTATGGGCAGAATATTGATACTGATCTCATTTACCTGGATCTCAGCAATGTTCTGGGCAGGAGACAGGCTCTTTTCTCCTACAAAAGGAGTTTTTTGGACCCTGCATTTGCAGTGAAAACAAGGGAGTTAGGAAACTTTCAGCATGAACTGCAAGGTGCTTGATTCTCTGACAGCTGCATCCATCAGAGTAAGCAGGTCTCAGGCAGTGAGACAGGCAGGCAGTTGGTGTCTAGATCTGCCACTTACTCCTTGTATAGTCAGTGGACAGAGAAATGCTCGTTTGAAGGAAAAATGAGATCTCAGATGGACTATCTGCCTACTGGAAGTATTTGCCTTTCTTCATCAATCACAGAAGAATCCTAGGGAGCCCATGCTGCAAACAGCAGTGCTCAAGTGCCTACATTTTGTTAGGAAGAATTCAGCACATTGGTAAATCACTGAAACTGATTTTTTAAATTATTTTATTTTACATTTTCCTATTTAAAGTATGTTCTCTGGATTTTTTTGTAACCTATGTCATGAACAAAAAGTTGAACTGGTAGAGAAATCGAGAATCAAGTAACTTGACTAGCATCAAGAGACAAGCCTTAATGCCACATAATTCATTCATAAGATGCTTTCAAGTGTAGTTCCTACACAGCTGCAGTGCCAGATTTCAGCAGAGCATCCCTGGCCAGCACAGAGCAGAGTCACACTTCCTTTCAAGGCCTACAAGCTTTCCCTATCCTCTGACAATCTACAGATCACATTGAGAATGCTCACAGAGAATTAGTCTGGGAAATTATCTGCTCAATGTCAGAGAAAGAACAGCCTTTCCTCCTTATAAGAAAGCCTTTGGGTCTGACTTATGATTTTGCCAGCATTCTGTTTATGGTTAGCTGCAGGTTCTTTGTTAAAAGCAGGATTTGACTCTGTATGCCTAAAACTATGTGTTGTTTCTCTGATGCAAAAATGGCCACTGAACATGTTTCAAACTCAGTGCTGTAGAAATGTTGCAAATTTTTATATGGATGAGATATTTTAACCCCATTACTTAATCCCATTACATTAAGAAGAATATGCCACTAAAACAGCTCGGAAGATAAGTTATAAGACAAAATATTTAATGAAGGCTGGTGTGGAAGCACAGTCAGTTGTGGTTGGTGCTTCTTGCAATAGCTTTTTCAAGAGACACAGAGTCTCCTCCACAACTAGTGATTTAACCCATTTTTTTCTTCTAGAGACAGAAGATTTGGAAAGTCCATGTAAAGTAAGAGAATGTCTATGTCTATTTTTCATTTAGATATTTACTTCTACAGAAAACTCGGGAAGACGCTTTAAGACACCATAAACATCGGTCTGATAATGAATAAATAATAACAGAAACAATAAATAATTACCTTCAAGTGTTTCTCCCTCTCCAGAAAGGGCATCTCCGGCTCCAGAGGCATACAAGGCAGACACAGTCAGTGCATACCTAGTGGCTTGGTCCAAGCCTTTCAGCACCTTAGAGGTGGTGTCACCTTTCACAGTCACTTCCTTGGTTTCACCTCCTGCGACTGGAGTGTATGTTATAAAGTACTGCTGCACTTTGCCAGGAGCAGCACCCCAAGACAGCTTCATTGTTGATGTTGTAGCATCAGAAACTCTCAAATTCCTTGGATTTCCTCGGACTGCACATGTTAAAAGATGTTGACAAAAAGTTGAAGCAAGCTTAATTTCTTGGTTTATCTTTAGTTTAACACTACATAGGATTTTATGCTAAAAAAATTTCTCTAATAGGCTGGACCAACCCTGCTACGGTGTATCTTTACTGTAATCAGGACTGTACATTCCCATCCCCACCCTCCTGAGGCAAAAATGCACAATAATGTCCATTTTTTTTTTCCTGTTAAAGCAGGCTCAATCCTGGAGCACTTATACATACTAGCACCTCTAGATATGCTCAGATTCAACAAAGATCCATGTTGAAGTCACTGTATTCAGAATCAAGTCAAAGATGACAAATGAAATGTGAAATTAACACGTTTTGGTTTCCTAAAGAGGTCTTTTTGATGACGACTTTCATGGATCAGTGAAACTTCAACAATGATCAGGACAGTCACACTTTTGGTATTCTCTATATTTTGTTTAATCAGGCATGATACGTGTTAAAGGATCATGCATTTTCACATTCACTAAATCTACAGTGATAACTTGAGAAAATTAAATGTTCCATTAATTTCTTGCTAAACATTCAGCACAAAGTGCAAACAGAGTCTGAATTTATATCAAGTATATAATTTATATCATTGACAATATAAAGAATCATGGGAACAACTAATTAAACATACAAGTAGATTCTTCACCCAAGTTACCTTGCCATATCAGGTTCAAGATACTATATTTTAAAATGAAATACTGCAATTTTGATAAATTCTATTGTCTTACGTTACCTCTCAGCTAGGCTTGAGCAATGTTATAACTCTCTGTTTATCTAAGATAATATATATGGACTATGTGGTTTATTGTCCTTTCAGTATGAATATGTCAACATGCAGCAAGTTTTTCTCATGCTTACTATGTTCACAGCATTGATCATGTACCTTCATCAGTTTTTGCATATCCATTCAATGAATTCCCAGGCCCAGACTGATACTCAGGAACAACAGAAACTTCATATCTTGTATCTTGGATCAAATTCTGCAGAGTAGTTGACCTATCATTTGCTGATACAGTCACTTGCCTCCTTTCTCCTCCAGTAAGTGGTCTATAAACAAGCCTGTACCTCAGGACATTTCCTGGTGCTGGAGTCCAGCCAACTACAAAGCTATCAGTAGTTTCATCTGTAATCCTTAAGTTTCGAGGAGCACCTTTAACTGCAAAAAATATACACACGTAAGTTGTAAATATTTGTCTTTAATGAAGAAGTATCTGAAGCAAAACCACGTCAATCATTCTGTTAGCTCATCCAGGTTACCAAAACTGCTTCTATTGCCTACCCATTGCTTTAGGGTACACATACCTTTTGTGATTTCTGAAAATTTAGGATCATAGTTACATTCAGCAGTGGAACAAAGTTGCCTCCAAAAGTACATTCATCCCAGTTTATACAACTGCTTCTGAAACTTAAGATAGTCTGACTGTGTTTAGTGGTAACAGTAGAACTGAACTGTGTAAGGGACATTTGGGCATAGTGAGGAAACTTCTTAACACAACAAATGATAAAAGTTTCCTTGCTGCATCCATTTGATTCTGCACCCATTTCATTGGCAGTTGTTAGATACACCTGACTACACACCCAGCTATCCTGTTTCCAAGAACAAACAAGGAACAAAGAGCAAAAAAAACCCCACCAAACCAATTCTATTTCTCTGAATTTCAAACAAAAAATATATTAATTGAAATACAAGTTGCATCTAATGTTTAAAAAAGGTTTCTTCATTTAGTCTCTAATTCAAAGAAATGGCTTGTTATCTTAGAAAGTAAAGAAAAAAAAAACTGTGGTGAATCCTTTAACCTAGCCTGCTCCTTGACAAAAGATACAGCAGTTCATATGAGCTCAGTGGGCACAGGAAAAAAGACTTGACTCTTCCAACAGAAATTAAGATCCACTGTACTGCACGCTGCCTAGTAGCACATAACATTGTCACTTAGGGAAAAAAAGTTCTGATTTTTTGTTGTTTGCTATCTATATTCCAAAAGTACTGTTCTTCAAAAGTAAGAGCAGAGTAATTAATAATCCAAGTTTTAAAGAAGAAACTTGTTTTCTATTAATCCGAAACACAATACTCAACCTCAAATTCTTTAAAAGCCTGAAACCAAAGTTAATTGCCAAGAAAGCCATCTGGCTCAAACTGTTAGCTAGATCTGCATGGAGAGCTGCTGATGTTTACGTGGCTGTAGAAGAACTCTGTCTTCTGAGACGTGCTGGGACATCATCAGATCACAATGTTAATAATTATTTAAGGTAGTATCAGTTACAAATGGGAAGGCAGATTATTTTTATTAAATCTTTTCCTTCTCCTGTTCCTTATGCACACAAGATACATGTTCTATCAGCCAAGAGTTGTCTGTTTTCCTAAGGGAAAATTATTCTGGCCAAAATATTCTGACTGGTACAGTCATGGAAATGTGCACGCTGACAGTGAAACCTGTATCTTCCAAACTTAACATCCAAACTAAGCAATTTTATAAGTGTTTATTTCTATCAGTCTTAAGAGGAAAGAGCAATTAACAAATCTTCAACCTGTTTCTTTTGCTCCCTTGGAACCATTTATGTCACCAAAGGTCACAAATGACAGCATGGAATAATGAAAAAGAGTAGATCAATATTTTTAAAAGCATGATTTAGAGTAGACTGAGTGTTCAACTACTGGAATAGCAAATCATATCTACTGTCATGCTGCTCTTTTCAATCAGGAGAAATGCATCATGGCAACTCTAACAAGGAAAAGTAAAGCTACCATGCTTAAATTTACAGCCACTGGTCACATTACACACATGGACATCAATGGAAGTTTTGAATCAGTTATTGGATCAGACCAATGAATTTCTCATAAAAAAAAGTTAACCAAAACTCAAGGCTAGTGTATATAAAAAAAGATTTCTATTAGTGTTATATTAGATGCAGACATAGCAAATTGTGTAGGCACACATTTGTCTTTAAATGTATTGAAGTCAACATGCATTCCTGCATCAATCTCATAATTATTAAATAGGGTAGAATAGAACTGAATAGTTCCATTGGAAAGGATCTGCAATGTTCATCTAGTCCAAGTTGAGTCTATATTGACAATTATTCATGCCATGGAATTTATCATCGAGAGCACACTACTTCACTTGAAAGCAGGCCACTGCAAAGGAACACAGCAGAGGAACGCAGCCAACCTCAGAAAAATTAAATTGCAATCTTAGCAACTTAATGCTTCCATATTATTAGAATTTTAAATCTTTACTGAATGCACTGAGATACAATAATGTTTATTCTCATCCTGCATGGCAGCACAGCTTTTCAGCCTTACTTGGCTCTTCCTCATTTCCTTGTTCTCCAGCTAAGCAAATTCTTATTTGAACATGTGAATCCCTTGTATCTGAGAATAATGGGAATCTTACCTTCTAAGGTGGTCTCCTCTCCATCCAAGGGAGGGCCATCACCATCTTCATATTCAGAAATCACGCTGACTGCATAGGTTGTTTCAGGTAGTAAGTTGGTGAGAACTGAGCTGGTACTTGAAGCTGGTACAGAAACAATGAATTCATCTCCACCAACTGCTACTTTATATTTAATGAGATAGGACAAAACCTCAGGTCCAGCTGGAGACCAGCTCACTTTGAAACTCTCTGATGTTATGTCAGAAAAGACCATGTTCTTTGCAGGTACGTAAGCTGTATGGAAATAAAAACGTGCATATGAGTATGCATATTCTGCATACTTGCCAGAATATGTTAAACACAAAATTTATAAAATAAATAATTAAATGTTCTTCAATAATTGTATTTATTCTAATTTAACAGATTTTTTTTTTGCATGTGCACAAGATTTGTTTTCTACACTTGTTTATATCTATCAAATTTCAAGATCATACCTAGGCTGCCTAAAATCATTCACAGTAAGTAGAAGCACTACTCACTGATTTCTAGATAAATTAAAACAGTCCATCTAAAAAATATATATATTTATGAAAACTTAATTTAGAATCTGATTATCAAGTTGTGTTCCCTACTTCATATGTCCAATGAACAGCAATAACATTATGTCCTCAATGGAAACTAAAAATTATTGGGGTTTTTTTTTCAGGTCTAGATTAAAAATAAGACAAAATAAAAACCAGTATTTTTTCGGGAATGAAGTCAAAGGGAGAACAAGGAATTTGACACAAGGAACAAACACAAATCTGACATCCTGGGCTTGTTTTGCTTGGCCTAGTCAGCCTGTCAGTGGGGATCTTAAAACTGTTCAAGCCCTCTAAAATAAAGGCTGCTTTGCTGGTTTGTTCCTTAAAGCTATCCTGAAACAAAAGGTTTAATTTTAAAGAGAATTGGGCTTTCAACAGTGGGGACTTTTCAATGTTAGTGTCCTACTAAGCATAGATAGGGGCGCTGTGGGTGCAACTAATCACAAGTACCTTTATCTGACCGAAGATGGTAATTTAGAAAACTTTTGAATGTTAAACATTATCCATGCTGGCCTAATTTGGATGCAGGTGAAGACTTTCATGTGCTCTTCACTTCAGTCTGTACAGTTAGATTGCAATCACTATCACCTAGCATCTGCTGTCTCAAGTTGTCTTGTCTAAGCCCATTTCAGAGGGCCATTAATTTTACCCAAAAACTTAATCAAATTGCCCTCTAGAGTCATTGGCCTTATTTCATTGCCTTTGAACATCTAAAAGACAAGCTTAGACTTGCCACCTCATTTTGTAGAGCTAAAAAAAGAATGCTCTGGTAAGTGTTTTACTCAAGACATTGAGTGCAAAAGCAGAGCATATCCACTAAGGTCATTCCAATAGGCACACATTTTATTAGCTTTTTAGATATCTAACAGGGGTGGGGGAAAAATTTTCTCAAATATTTTTTTTTTCATTTCCATTTATCCATTAATGTCATCTGTTGCTTTTAATATATTTGAAAATGAGAAGCAAATCCCCAGTTATTAAAATTATCATTTGTATATGGACAATTTCATCAAAATAAATTCTTTAGGTAACTATAAGCACAAAACATTGGTTCAGATCCTCTTTTCATTGCATTTTCTACATTCCTGTAAGTAAGTAATAGTAGTTGCTTACATTTTCTCCTTATAGCAGCCAGCTCCTGCTCAATTCGTAGACAGACAGACTGTGTAAGTTCAAATGATATTCTTTGAAAAGCATCAAAATCTTCCACTGTGTAAACATGGGTGTCCGCAGGAGGTGATGCGATAGCTTCCAACTCTGTGCGCACTGCATCCTTCACACCAACTGCAAATATTTCTACATCTGCATCCCTCAGCTTAATTGCAGGTTCTTTAAAAGCATCTGATGATTTTCCATCAGTGATAAGAATCATTACTCTCGGCACATTTGGTCTTGATCCTTTGCTGGTAACAAATACCTTCTCCCTCACGTATGTCATTGCTTTGCCTGTGTTGGTAGATCCACCTCTGTAGGGGAAGGTGTTAATAGCCTGAATTATGTCTTCCACTCTGTTGTATCTGTTCAAAGAAAACTCCATATGGGGATCTCTGCTGTACTGGACAAGACTTATCTGTACTTTTCGAGGTGATATCTCAAAGCTTTTAACCAACACTTCCAAAAAGGCTCTTACTTTGACAAAATTGGCAATACCAATGCTGTAGGAACCATCCACTAAAAACACAACATCAGCTTTTACATCCACACCACGTGAGCATTCTGCAAAGGAAAAGAAAAATCACTGTAAATGGATTTTCAATAGCCGCATAGCATTACAATCGCATCTGTAGTTTGTATATCACACACAACTGCTTATAAACAAAGTAAACCATGCTAAGCAAAGCTGTGTCTCAAAAATAATAAAGGTATAATATTAAAACAAGCATCAGAGATTTCATCAATGAAGAGAGACAATTTGAAAATTAGGTGGTTCCAAACTCACCCACTTGAACTTTTATTTGTTGTGTTTTTTCCATTATCGTTATTGGCTCACTGGGGGTCAGTCCTTTCATTGCATAAACATTAATTTGATACTCTGTGTCTGGAGAGAGATCTTTAACATTCAGAGCAGTTGTCTGAGGACCCACACTCAGTACATGCTGTTTTCCCCCAGCTATCATTGGAATGAACTGCAGACGATAGCCAGTTATTTGGCTTGTGGATGGATCCCAAGTGATTCTAACAGACTTTGAGGAGACTTGAGTTGCCACCAGATTTGAAGGAGGCTCCACCACTGAAAGAAATCAAAAACAAATCCAAATATTAGGTACAATTTATAAACATATTTGCTTAACAGTTTTTATTTCTGGAATAAGTTTAGTTATCTTTGCTTGATCTTTACTAAAAATCACTTTTGGGGGTTTTTTTAGCATAAATAGACAGAAATTAATTACAGGACAGTCCAAATGAGACATCAGTGAGAGGGCAAAAATATGAGCAATGCATTTGTGGTCCCCCAAGTATAGCATAAGTTCCAGAAGTGCTGCCCAGCTCTAAAACTGCTTCAATCAAAAGTGAAGGAACCACTTACAGGAACACGGTAGAAAATGTGAATAAATGCAGACTTGAGCAGAATACTACAACAGCAGAGTCATCTCTACTGCCATTTTTGTCAAAGAATAACTAGTTATTAAAACCTTACAGAGAGAGGAAGCTGCAATGATATAGCTTCATGTCTTTATTTTTTCAGTTTTCTCCAGTTTTCATGCTTTGGTTCTCAGTGGTTCTCAATCCATTACATATTTTGACCCTTCACCAAGTAATTTTTTTCCCTTTAATACATTTTTCCACAGAAGTGATGCCTGTGTCCAAACTGCACATCACTGTGTTGCCTTTGAAACTATGGAATAATGGAGCTATTCCAAATCTGCTACACCACATGTTCTGTTATCCTGCATTTAAAGACACAAAACTGAAAACAGTTTTCCATACTTGCTAAGTGAGGCAACAGATGAAACTCCATAAATAAAGCAAAGGAAGTAGGAATAGTCTCTTCAATAGACATTGGGATAAACTGAAGCTACAAATACATTTTTATAAAGTGTCTCACCTTCTTCCCCACTAACCAGTTCACCTAGTTGTTCATCAACACCGGAGCACACTTGCAAGATAATTTCGTTCTGTATATCCACAATTCCATCAAAATTGGCCACATTGAACACATGCTTCAGTGACGGCTGAGATGCAATTAGTTTGAGTTCCTTTGCATCTGCTGCTTTGATACCTAGAAGTTGTAATAGACAGGGCTATGGTTAAGTAGCCATAAAATACAGACACCTTCAACATACCTGTGAAGTATTAAAACATCTTGGGGTAAGGCTGAGTTTAAATTAGTTCTGCCTTCTGTCATGATCAATAATCAAACCAGAAAATAATGATTAATGAAATGAGGTGGCAGACTCGATTTTCAACCAGGGAAAATAATGTGGTGTGAGAATAAGGCCAAGGTTTAAACTATGCTAGTCAGTCATATTAATCTCCACGTAGGAGCTACATAATTACCATCAAATTAACACAAGTGGTGTGTTCCACTCTGGAGGGCACAAATGACCCCATTCAAGGCATAAATATGAAAAGAGGGGCATAATGAAATTTTTCAACCCCACTGTCTGCAAAACTTATAAATTAACTCTTTTATCTCTCAATCATTAGAAAAACTCAACATACCCAAGGAAAAAACTTCAACTCCTATGTTGCGAAGCTCTCTTGCAGGAATTTCTACATCATCTTGAGCTTTTCCATCAGTAATGACAATGGCTACTTTGGGAAAGCCTTTTCTTGCTCCAGCAGACTCAGTGAAGGTGTTTTGAACAAGGTAATCAATAGCCTCACCTAAAACAAACATCACAAGTTGTGTGTTTTTAGACTTGTATAACTAGGATATGAAGCAAATTTGAACTATGAAATGAAATGCTTGAATAAGCATGTATGTGGGAAATCTGTACCTGTCATTGTGTTGCCACCTTTGTAAGGTATCCTTTTAATTGCATCAATAAGATCACTTCTTCTGAAATACTGATTTAAATTGAACTCTGTTCTTGTATCTGAACTATACTGAACAACTCCAACTCTCGTCTTTTCTTCCCCAATGTCAAAAGCTGATACAAGGGCAACCATGAAGTCCAGAATATATCCGAAGTTATTTCTTCCTACACTCCATGAACCATCTACCAGGAAAACTAAATCTGTCATTGCACTTATGGAGCATCCTGGAACACAACAGGAAAAAAAGGAAAACCAACTCTATTAGCAAATTAGCAATTGCATTCTTACAAATCAGTGAGAAATGTCTAATGGAAACTTAGTAGGTAAAAGCCAAAGCAAACACATATTTAAAAGATTGGTCTTATCTGGGATACTTTGCTTGGGGAAACATTACTCACATAAGTGAACACTCATATGAGTTTTCGTACAGCCATTATCAAAAGGGAACTGCTTTGAGACACCTTTCACACTAATCCACAAGATCTGTTATGCCACAACAGATGAAAACACCCATACAAAACCTTTTGCAATGATTTGATGTTACAGAAAAATTTTATTTTGTTATCATTTGTGCCTCACATCTTTATTTTCCCATTGTAGCTGCACAGGTACTTCAGCAAAGCCTTTTATCCACAGCACAACACCTTTTGTTGATAGGACCGTGACACTCATGGACTTGCTCAGGTTAGTTGCATGAAATCCCTAGTTTCAGTACCAGCTTTGCACCTTAATCTTTCAATGTAGCTTATCTTTCTATCACAAGTCCCTTAACAAGTTTTCTTAATTCTACACAACTTTACAAGTTAACTTCTTGGTAGGTAGCACAGAAGCACAGTTTAACTTTGTGAGCTAGACTTCAGATAAGATAAATGTCAGATAAGTTGAAAAGCAAAGCACCTTACTTTGTAATTGAGCCTCAACCTTCTTTTCCTCTGGTATCCCTGGGCCGCCTGTCTGAACTACACAAAGCACAACATACACAAAATGAATGAGGGAAACACGGTTATATTTTTAAACATCAAAGAAAAGCACACAAGGAATTAGAGACATGCATCTAACAAGCCTCAGAACACAAAAATACAAATGCAGGTTCTGAAAATATCACCTGTACTTACAGATTTGACAACATAGTATTCAGCAGGACACAAAATACAGAAAATGTAAATATCTAAGAATCTTCTGTATTTGTACATCTTGTAGAGTCATTTCCTGACAATTAACTGCAACATGCCTGGAAGAAATACCAGTATTACCCTTCTCTATCACCTAAAAGAATTGATAATTTTCCCATGGTTCTTTGTGAAGCCTGAGACATGATACAAAATGTGTCATAGAAAAGAGTCTGCTGTGCATTTTTATTTAATTAAATTTATTTTATGTTTTTTAAACTATTAATATAAATTATTAAAGCTTAAATTCCATATTTTAGTATGCATTTAGGTCTATTGTGTCACATTTTATTATTATTTGATGAATATAGTTTGCTTTCTCACACAGGATGCCAGTTCAATTCATTTGTTACTGAGGTCAATGATTGTCTTCCCCCTGAATCCAGCAAATGCAATTTATTGGAAGGAGGTATAGCTCAAAAAACATAGTGGCCTCCTGCCAAGAATTCTACAGAGGTTGGCAGACACTCTATCCATGTTAGTATCCTTTGACCTCTTGTAAATTTTCTCTGCTTCCACTAGGACTAATAGAAAAAGGCTGTTCAGACAGCTCCATTGAAGGAGAGTTTAGGTATGCGGCAATTTTGTTGGAGAACTGGATCAAAGCCAAGTTTTGTGAATGACCACTCAATTATCTTGATTGGCTTTCTAATTGTACTGCAGCTACTTACTTGTCAGCTGGCCAAAAACAGGCAGACTCTCCTCTCTGTCGTCATATGAAGCTATTGATACAATATACTCTACATCAGGTGTAAGATCTGATATGACAGTTTGGGTAGTGCTAGGTGAAAGAGTAAATTCTTTAGTAGGTCCATCTGCAATAAATATATAAAACACTCAATGCAGCCTTAAAATACAATATTGGTAAGCTGACTGTAAAACAAAATGCAATAGGCAATAACCTATCTCAAATCCAATAATTTTAGAATTGTACACTTTCTGTTTTCATGAAGTATAAATATTGAAACATGAAATTTTAGGCCAATGTGATTTTTTTAATAGTGAAAAAAAAACGCTAAAGTGTTTGATAAATTCCAGGAAATTTGAAACTTGATATGCACATACAAAATATACTATCATCTAATAAATCATGTCCTGTTCTCATTCAATATCACTTTTACACTGATTATTTCTAAAAGTGAAATAGAATAATGGCTGTCTTACATAGCACAATACAATTTTTGAACTTTAGGGTGAAAGCACAGAAGAGGAGCAGAGTGATGATTCTACACCCTTTTTGCTCCCTACAAAGCAAAGGCATCCAAAACTTGCAGTCCCAAAATGGTAAACACTAAGGCAAGAATAGCTCTAACTTGGAAGAAAAACTGTTTTTTCTCTATGCCCTCTGCAGCTACCCAGCCTTGATCACCAGCTTACAAAAGATTTTAATGGCTACTCTCATACCTAAGTTAGATATAGGCAAAAATAAACTCAACATTTCAAAACGTAATCACATTTAAAAAGTTGACAGAACTCACCATTTGTTGGAACCACAGTTATTCTGTAACCCACTATTGCATCTGGTGGCCTTTTCCATGACATTTGAACATTATGTTCATCTATAATTGTAAAATTCAAGTCTGATGGTGGATTAACTGCAAAAGATTTATACCAGGTAGATGTTTAAAATCTTGACCAAGTTTTGGCAAATGAATAAATAAAACAAGGTTGAGCAAAGCTTACTAAAATTGTCTTTGCATAAATTTGTTTCCAACAAATATAAAGATATATTGTTGGAAAAGGAGTAAAATAAAAGCTGACAAAATATGACAAAACATCAAAGAGTATATGCATTACAGAGGACAGCACAGAACATATGTTTCTTGAGTTGCCAAGACATTCAAGAATGGCCAGCAAAATCAAGCACAATAGAAAACACATTTGGATACATGTACAATGAGTTCACAGATAATCACCACATATGCAAACATTTCACATAACAATTAAAGGAAATTTTTTTTACATGCTGGGTGCAATCCGTACAAGCATGCCAAATCACAACCTGCTTACAATATCATGAGATCATTTAGGATGTGGAGAACACAGTACTCTTCTAATTAGACATCAAAGAATTGATCAGCTTTTAAAATATAGTCTCTGCATATGATATTTCTTATCAATTTCACTGAATCTAGAAACTTGGCAGAGAAAATTAACTATTTAAAGAATACAGGAAAAGACTGGGCATTTAATGTTCAGTAAAACAATTTCTGTCAGGGTCTAGATAGGAATATACATGCAAAATGTATATCAGCAATAATGATACACTGATGTATCATTATATTCCAAAATATGGAGAATATGGAGAACTCCACCCCTTTGTTCCTAGAAGCCACTAAAGTGACATACTTTGCATATAGCAACAAAGGATTTAGGAACTAAGGGAGTAATAAATGGCATTAGTAGTGGTTGCAATTTGCCAAAATATTCAAGCTGATGCGAAGTTCTCAAAAATAAATTCTACCTGTTTACACCAGATTTCTGTACAATTTCAAAGGTGTAAACTATTGTTTTCATGTTCCCTTTGCAGCAGGTGTACCCATACTAATAGTGGCATTTTAACATAAAATGCCAGTATGGTTCCAAACAACACAATGGTTAATTATGAAAAGACAACATCAAAATATATTTAAGGACATTTATTTTACAGAATTTATAGAAAATGGCAAAGAGGGCACCAGTGAACTGAACAAATGACTGCAAATAAAATTTGTAGGAGCTGATGACAGAAGTAACTGAACAGTACAGAAAGAAATAGTTTATATATGCTAATTTGCAGCATCATGCATACATAAATGAAATGTTGATTATTGGTTTTTTAGCTTCCCACAATGGACAAAGCCTCCATGTACAAGGTTCATTACACAAAGACATTTAATAAATATTTTATAATGATATTCTCTTTTTAAAATTGTCATGCTTATTCATGCAGTATTTTACTGACTCACTGTCAGTGCATGGTAGGTGTATTATATATTATTGTTTAAATAGGTCTACAAAGTATGATTAGATCCAGCCATACTTTCCTTAACTACTAGTAAGAGAGTTTTGCAGGCATTTTTAAAAGAAAGATCTTCTGTTTCATAGAAGATCTCCATCATATGTCAGATTTCATATCAGATCTGAATATAATTTTAAAAGCAGATAAAGTAGTAAACGCTAGAATGTTTAATTATGAAAAGGCACTGTCCAATTACAAAAAGTAAAACTGAGCTAAAAATATATGACATTTTTTTCCTTTTAATTTTCTGTAATTTCCGACCAGAGGATAATATGGCTTTATAATAGTGATACAATAGATAACACTAGTACTGAAGTAAATGTTATTTTTCCTGTTGTCCATACACAGGCAGTGAGATTAGCCCATTAACCTGCATGCACAGTTTATTCATCAGTTTATGAGCACCACAATGCTAGAGATGGCAGAGTAGTTACTTAGTATCAAAATCATGCAACATGTGTTAATAGTAAAATACATTTAGATGATAAGAATATCATTATAAAATATTGTTTCAGTAGCAATGGCTCAGGACAAATTTAATGCAAAGGCAGAGACAACTGACCTGAGCATGCTTTTAAAAAAAATCAGTACATGGAAAAAGTAGCACCACCAACCTTGCAAGTAAATTGGCATGTTGCAGCAGAGACTTTAGGCTTTAACTGCTGAAGGACAGCAGCAGCCCAGCTTGTTGATATCCAAATGACCGGATTCCAGATAAACTGAAAAAGCTGACTGTGAGGAAAAGTCTTGAGCATTTTAAAGAATGGTTTTCCTTTTTATGAAAATTCAAATGTGGGTCTTGGCAGGTAACAAGAATAGTACATTGACACATGAGTGATGCATCCATTCATCCAGGTGATCATAAACAATGGCATTGCAGGGGAACTTGAAGGTCCCCTTGTCCATCCCATGGTCAAGACAAGATTGGCCACCCTCTGTCATTCCCGACATGTTTTCCTCGGATCATTCTTAAAGACCTCCACTATTGTCAAGACTGACAGCTTCCCACAGAAATCGCTCCAAAACCTCACTGCCTTTATCATCATAGTTATTTCTGACACCTAATCCCCACCTTCATTGCTGTACTTAAATCCATTCATTCTCAGCCTATGGCTGGCTTATCAAACTCAACCACGGAATACTTCTCTCATAGAAATCCAAAAAGGAATCTTTCTTGAGTGAAAAAAAAAAAAGCTCTTTGGATCCAATGTCATCAAAATGTCTTCCAGATGGCCTGTGAGCTTTTGATACTCAAACAGAATCTCCAAAACATCCATGGACCTTCACAGGGGTCAGATTTCACCCAAGTGAAACCAGCTGTGGGGTGATGACCAAACCATGGTCATATGACTGAGAGTAGTAAGCTGATCTGAAGTACAGAAAAATGTTTAGATGATAAAAACCGTATTGTGATAATAAAACAGGGCAACTGTTACTCCATCTCATTAAAATTCTTCTTCTAGAAGGGAATTCACCAGTGGAAAAATAATACATTTGCAATACTGAATCAAACCAGAGTCTAGCAAAGAAATGCCCCTTGTTGTAGTAGGAGTTTGCCCCTTTACAGGGACAAACCTTAAAATTTCACTCAACAGAATCTTATGTGTGAGTGCAGCTTAACTCCAGCAAGCAGTCTTGATGTCAGGCTACTTGCAGCAGTGAAGTTGCACTTATTCTTAGTGTAGTGACACTGCTGATCCTGTGTCCATCAACATCCATGCCAAACCTCCCACTGACTTGTCAAGCTACAGGGTCATGATCATAATGTGTCATGGTGTTGTAGTATTGCCTTCATACTATGATCCAATCCTGGATGCACAGAAATGCATGGCTCCCCTATAGGTTTCCAGAGTAGCAAAAACATATCCTGCTGTACAACAATCATGCTTCCACAGCATTAATTTTGACCACTCTTGGAACTGTGTTATGATCACTTCCTTAACAGGATCTTCTATATTATGCACCACAAAAGAAAAACAAAAGAAAAAAATCAGACAGAATGTACTGAAAACATTGCCAGTTTTTTGTGTTATATACACATGTAATAAGGTTATAATTTCAGAAACAAAAAAAAAAGAGGGCAAAGCATCTTTCTCATGCTATGCAGGTCTTGCATGTCTTATATTAGCTTGTATCATTTCACAGGAAATATAAAAAAATTACAGCTTTTTTCAGATAACACAATGTGACTGCTAGAGGATCCCAGCGAATACCTTAACAGGATAGAAATAAAATGTAACTGCAATATCAAGTAATTTATATCTAGAACCAGATTTAGAAGTGATATAAGTTGGAAGTAGTTGCCATCCACAATCCCTATGTGAAAAATATTTTGTGATTCCATCACTAGAAAAGACACACTATAATTAGCATGTAAAATAATGTGCCAGCCCATGTTAAAATATCATACAATCTACAGAAGCTGAAGAGTAAGCTCAGCCTTACCATCCCAGTGATAAGGCCTCAGGCTGGAAGGTGGCAGAACTCTTCATTTACTATTTTTTTCAGAAGTGGCATGAATTTGGTACAACTAACTAGATCATGAGCCCAGTTAAGCTCCTCTGAAGCCTGCTTTGTCAATGTGACTGGAATGACCTACAGCCTAGAAATGTAGTAAAGGGCAACTTCTAAAAAGAGCAGTTCTCAGACTTGTTAGGTATTCATTGCAAATCACAACACAGAAATTTTGCCAGCTGTGTCTTTGCATTTTTTAATTTTATATATGTTTATGAAACTTCTTCAAATTTGAAGATGCAAAGCTCATAAATGCACTTTAAAAATTTCCTTTAAAACTATATACCTATACAAATAAAGACATACATATCTCGACCTAACCTATATATATACACACATTGTATATATTAATATTTACCAAATTTTACACTTGTGTGCACATATATGTATATGCATGTGTATATACACTTACACATGCATGCATATTTTGCTTCTAATTAGCAGCAGGAAAAAGTAAAGTCACCCTCACGTATACAGAAATTTCAATTTCACATGTCAATCTACATGGCTCTCTATTTAGGAACTTGGAAATCAGCAGCTTCTTTCTCAAAAGATATTGCCATCAAAAGATAATAAAATAATGGTTCTACCAATGAGTTTCAAAACTTCAAAAGTTTCAACTATCTCAGATCACCTCTGAATTATTCAGTCAATGAAAATTAATGTACTCAATGCAGATTCATTACAAGCCAAAAATTCTAATCCTTTGTAACTGCTATGCTGCAATTATTTGTCACTTATTACACTGGTGTCCTGGTAACAGATTTTTCACCAGACAAACCTTTTTATGCAAAATACAAAGGTTCCACACCTGGATTAGTGATGCCCTCCTTCCCTACCTCCAGCTTAGAAAACCAATTCCTGAAAAACTGAAAAGTCAGCCCCTTCAGAAGCTCAGTTAGGCTACACAAAACCAATGATTTCCTCATTTCTTTCCTGTGCCTTTGAAAATCCCTCTGTGTTAAGAAACATGATATGCTACAGAAGCCATGAAAACATCACAGCAGTAACTGGAGGTTATAATTAATAGATTCTTCACATGCCAATGTACTTAACTATGACTAGAATAAGAGCCTTTGGCTCTTTGTGATCACAGATGAAAAAAATACTGTAACAGAAAAAAAATCTGACATGTGGACAGACATGGAATGCACTGGAGTATTGCTGTGCTGGACTAAAAAGGCACAAAACTTTAAGTATAAACAACTTTATGTCTAAGTATAAAATATAGAATCACATACGGGGAGTTTAAGCTGGGAGAGAGATATCAGAAGGATTGCAAAATAAAACAAGAAGAATTTCACTGTAAAAAAAAAAAGCAAAAATGCTGAGCATGAAAACAGATTTGCTTCCTTGACCACCATAAACAAACAACTTCCCCAGTGAAAGGGCATGAGTGCATTTAGACTATATGTGGGCTTTCCCCCCTCTACTCCTACAGTGACTGCCCAACTAGAAACTCCTGTTCTGCTGTACCTCTGTAGAAAAGCTCTAGAGCCATTATTGCAGCTCACTGCTCATTGCCAAGAGCAGCAGAGCACAGCTCTCACAAAGGACTTCAGAGCAGCTGTGATGCTGATGAAGAGCTAGTTTCATACTGGAAAGTTCAGGAATCTATGGACAGCAGCATCAGATAAACACCAGATCTCCTCCCAGGGGAGACTGAAAAACGAAAGCTGAAGGAGGGCAGAAAATAAAACTAAGCTTTTTCTTTCCTCTGCTCTCACCCCATCTTTCCACGTCATATCAAGAATTTTCATCACATTAAATGGCTCTCTCTCTTATTCTCCTCTCACCTTTTCATCCTATCAAGTGTCTGCCCACACCTTTGGGAAAGAAATTTTAAAATGCATATCCTGTGAATGGTATGTGGAGAGTCAAAAAGAACCAAGAAAAGAGACACAGGACTGACTAGTGGGGGAGGATAGCTTTGCCACAAAGTGATCTGAAATTTGGAAAAATAAGACCAAGGGACAAATGTTCACAGGAGAAAGTCAGTTCAGCAAACAGGATCTAAGATGCAATTACACCAAAATAAAGTAAATACGTAAGTAAGGAAATAACTTGCTAAAGTAAATAAGATGCAATTTAAAAAATTATGCAATCTTGCAGCACAAAATTAAAACAGTGCAGAAGAATGATCAGTATAGTGCAAACAAAAGTCCACTGTAAAAATCTCTACAAAAGCAATTCCCACCACAGCAAGTTCTAAGGCAGTCCTAGTTTTGAACTTTCATTTTCAGCACCACTATTTCTCACTCCGTTTTCAGCACCACATTTTTTCACCCCACACTTCCCTGCTCTTACTTCAAAACTCTGGAGCTAGGAGAATTTTCTCATAGAAAGAAGATCACTGTAAATTAGGTATTTTATTTATCAAACATTTTTGAGTGCAAAGTAATGTAAGTTCTGTCCAAGAGCCCTCTGCAACTCTCAAGATCAGGTTTTATCCACTCTTTTCCTTGGCAATAGTGCATCCTCCAACATCTAATCAAGGTCATCCAGCTATGTGTCAAGATTTGCTGTTATAACTCTGTTGCTCCAAATACATTTTTGTAGCTTGCTTTACCAGTGCTGAAGCTATGGCTGGTTTAGTCTACACTATAGCTAAATAAAACACCTTTGCTTACGTTCCGAAATAACATACTCCACACATGCAAATCGCAGCGCAGGACAACAGCAATATTAGTCCAGCTCTGAGTGAGATCCCTTCTAAGATGGGGAAGAATGCACAAACACATCCACTCCCTTCCTCCATCAAAAATGTACACTTTCTCTGCTTTCTCTGGCACAGCAGTTCTGCGTTTCAAATGCAGCTCTGAAATGACTTCAAATGACCTTTTTCGGTTCCTTTGCCAACAGCAACACAGCACAAGAGGAAGGCAGTGGACTGATTCTCTCCTAGGGTGACCAGATGTTGCACTACTGGCAAAAATGCCATCTTTTTCCAGAAAGCCAGTGTATTTTACATCTGCAAGCCCCAGGCGAGCACTATTACTACTGCCTGGGGGCCAAACACCGCAGAGGCATCTCTGACACCCCATGCTTTTAGAAGAGATCAGCCAAGGTGACCAGGTCCAGACAAGGGAGCTTGTGGCAGGCCATGATGAGGGAATTTTTTTCAGTTCAAGACAGAAAGGAATGCAAAAAAAAATAAATAATAATTATCAGTTGCTGGCTTCTGGCTTTTTCCAGTAAATCCAGGAGAGTTCACACCTATGATGGAGTCAGTTCCCAGAGGTCAGATCAAGTCATTTCAGTGCAGGACGTTCAGCCTTTTTATTTCCCCTGGAAGCCACAGCTGGCAGAAGCGCCACGACTATGACCAAAGAGCCAAGCAGCTCACACTGAAGGTACAGGACACTGTTGCTGTTAATCCATTGGGGAGCAAAGGCCTGGCCAGGCCATGTTGAGCCACACTGCGCCAAGTGTGGCAGTGAAGATGGGTCTCCCCAGGTCTTCAGCTGGAGGCAAGATGCTGCCAGGGCTCACAGGGGCCTCAGCCCCCAGAGAGACTGCGCTGAGGGCTGAGGAGGAGAAGAAAAAGGAAAGCCTTTTTGGAGGTGACGGTACCACCTGCATGCCAGAGCCTTGGAGCCCCGGCTGCCACAGCAAGGCCTGGCCCAGCCTTCCCTTCAGCAGTGCCCATGACACATGTCACAGCGCTGGCAGCACCTCCCAGGCGTGTTCCCCGGGTCAGACCCAGCACAGAAGCTGAAGTGTCCCTGAGGGAGGGTCCGGCCTCCCCGAAGCTCAGCCGGGGGTCGCCCCGCCGAGCAGGGGAGGCCGATGCACCGGCAGGCAGGCCGGTGGGGCGGGGGCGAGGCGGTCGGCCGGACACAACACACAGGCGCAGAGAGCCAGACTCTGTTGGAGCATTTTATTTCAAAGTTGCAGGTTGTTGAGTAGTAGGTTTTCCGTGTCCTCTCTCAACATTACTAAACGAAGCCAGAGACCAGCCCTTCTTGGTCCATCCTGGGGGCAGAGCCATGGCCCCGGCCACGCCGGGCTGCCCGCCAGCGGCAAAGGGCTCCTCGGGCCCTGCGCCCGGGTGGCCACAGCGGCTGGCCCAGGTCCTGCCTGTGGGGTGGTGCGGACAGCACACCAGAGGGACAGAGAGAGGGAGCTACGCTCCGGCCCACTAGCCGGGAGAAACAGAACACAGAAGGAGCTGGGCAAGGAAGGAGAGGCGTTTCTCTGAAGGAGAGAAAGAAAGAAGGTGAAGTATTCACACTCAAAAACAGAGAGGGAGAGAGCCAGTAGCTCAAGGCTGATTGTGAGGTTTGCTGGTCAGCGGGGCACCAGGGCAAGAGGGCAGGGAGGAGAAGGTTACCTTCAGCCTCGATGGAGGAGAGGAGGGTGGCTGCACACAGAGCAGCGACTGCCGAGCACAGCGCTGTCTTCATTTCTGCCCTTTCAGATCACAACAACATGAATGAATCTGCAATGATGGGGAAGGGAGGAAGGGGGAGAAATGAGAAGGAAATGATACATGTGGATTAAAGGATTGCGTGGGTGTATTCATGAAACATAAAAAAGACAAACCGTGGATTTCGCTTTGTTCCCTTATCCCCAGCCCCCACCCACGGGACCAGGTTGAAACCTCTAGACTTGAAAGCTGTCCAAGACGACGAAAGATCTGTGTGACTAACTGGGGAGTCTCATCTCGCTATAATGTGCCTTTTGTTGCTGAACCCTTTCCAATCACAGTAAGCACAAGAAGCTTTAACCCAGTTAGGGTTAATTTGATCAGGGAAGCGCAGTGAAGATCTGTGCCTCCGCACAGGCAGCAGCCAGAAGGGAGCTCCATGACTTCATCGCTGAATGTGATGATAGCTAATTCAGAGGTCATTCCTGCTTTGGATCAACTAAATGTCTCTTTCAGCTGGGGATTTTAATCGGCTCCTTTTTCATAACTGTTGAACCACTTAGTTAGCTTTGTTTTACTGGTCTCAAGGCAGTTTGGAAACTGTAATAAAACTTTTTTGAGGGGTTCTGCCTACAATTGCGCTATTCTTCATTTCTTGAAAGTCTGAAATAGGTTATACAGAAGTGTGTGTAACACACATCTGAAATTTGACACGTCTGTCTAGCCATGATGTTTCAACATCTGATAATTCATTTACATGTCCTGAGAGAAAATATATTTAAAATACACTATATAAAGCTGACAGGCATAAGAGTCTCACACCAACTGCTGGTTGTCTAGCAAAAGAAGTGAGATTAGGCCAAGTTAGTGGCTCCTAATTGCAAACAGCCATACCTTCATACCTATATGCTCCAATTCATGTAAAATTACTGCCAATTACTCTAGCAAAACTTTCCAAATTATTTCCTTGTCTAAGTAAAGTCTAGTATGAACCTACACATGCATGTAAGTGTTTCTATAGTTTCAGATTTTCTATCTCAAGAAGTAGGAGAGTGGCAATTTGTATGAATAAAGTCATACATGCATCATATATCATAATTAGGCTGGGAGAAAGACAATTCCAAAAGCAATTAGGCAACAAATTTTATCAGGAATGTTCCAAGAGCAAAACAAAAGAAGAAAACATAAATCATTAGTCTGCAGAAACAACTAAAAGGGAAAACTATATTCTTCTACCATCTAAAGAACTACCCAGCAAGGCACATTTGGTGGGAAGACGCTATGGAGATCCAGGAACTTCCCAGTTACTGATCTGAGCTTAATAGGCTTCATTTGAGCTGCTGTATATACTTGCCTTAGCCAAACGCCTTGACTGCACACGAAAATACCAAAATCTCAACAAAAATCTAAGTAAAGGTTTCAGTCTAATGGCAGTTCCAGTGGCTAAACAGAAAAGCAAGAGCAATATTGACCATAATGACACTAACACAAGAAAGGCCAAGGTTAGTATTAAGATGCTCTGAAAGCTCCAAAATCGTATCACTGCTCTGCGTGGGAAACGGCTGCCCCTGGGCAGATCTACAATATCCTGCAGTGAGTTGAAAGATCGCCTAAATTCAATGCTAAAGGACATTTTGTCCTGATAAGCTCGTGCAAGCTTTGACTGCCATCTTTTGATCGTTTTGAAAAGCAACAGAAATTAATCATCTCACAAAGGCATCTAGGAATTCTCCACTGCTGCAGGTCTTCCATTCCTGATACACGTTTTTATTTCATGAAATACACCACCTCAGCCAAAGCATTAATTTGCTAACCTAAAAACACTGTTTCCTTCTCACAAATTTAGGTGTGTGAAAGAAACCCTGGAGGTGACAGAGGACCCCTCCTGGCTCAGCATGGACGCAGCAGACTTTGTGTCAGTACTAAAGGTTTTCTCATTGATCTTTGGAGACCACTTAGAAAAAGTCAAACCCGGGCTTTCACACTGCCAATCCTATCTGAGGCTAATTCAACCTACAAAAGCTTAGCCAAAGCATTTCTAAACCACACAATGCATGACATTTAACACTTTCAAGAAGAAAAAAACTAACGTAAACAGAAAAAGAAAAAAAAGCGCAGGAAAAGCCTATCAAAGATATAAAAAACTGGAAGCAGGACAAAGCATCACCGGCAGCTGCACACACAAGGGAGGGAAGCGAGAGCTCCTGCCAAAGCCGCAGCGGTAGCATGCCTGCAGGCGCCCTGGGCGCTGACAGCAGGCTCCGCCTGGAGCCTCCGGCCACCCTGAGCCTCCGTCTCCGGGACACCTCCGCCCCTGCCCGCCTTTCTGCCCAGGCACCCGTCCGCGGGCAGCGCTGGGGGCCGCATCCCGCCGGGCTTCCCCGTGCCTTTCCCGGGCTGGCAGCCAGCAGCCCCCGGGGCGCTCTGCCCTGAGCCTCTCGGCCCGCCCGGCCGCAGCTGCAGCCGGCTCCGGCATGCCCAACGCGCACACGCTCCGTCCTCATCCCGCGGCAGCTCCAGGGGCTGCGTGCGCGGTGCGAGCGGACAGAGAGGGACGCGGGACGCGGCGGGCAGGAACCCCGCTCCTGCGCGGGCACACACACACACACAGACCTTCCGGGGTGGCCGCAGGGCGCCGGGGTCCGTAACGGGACAGCTCCTCCGGCGATGGCTCCGGTGGTGCCCGCAGCGGCGGGAGCCGCAGCCGTCGAACCTGGATAAAGGGAGGAGGATTAAGGATGAAGCTCCGGGGGCACCTTGTGGAGGGAGCAGCAAGTAGCAGCAGCGGCGAATGAGGAGCAGCAGCAGCGGCAACAGTGAGCGCAGAGGAGGCGTCTCGATTACTGTAGCTCCCGATGCGAGGGGTCTGTCTGGGAAGACTTGCCTTCTCCAAGTGGGAAGAGCCTCTTCTCAATCTGCTACTTAATAGAGGGCTGTTCCCAACTCTCAATTTACCCTCGTAAGCGGTTACGAAACTTCAGGGAAGGTGGACTGCTGCCACCGGGTGATATATGCGCTGCTGTGCTCCAGCAAGGAAGGGGATCCACTTCTGGAAACTGGCGCATACCTCCGCGCATTCCTGCGGCATGAGACGGGAGCCGCGGCGGCAGCGCGCCCGGAGGCAGGGGCCCGGCCCGCCGCCCCCTCCCTCCCTCCCCTAGGCTTCCCAAACGGGGAGGACGCGGGAGGGCAGTGGAAAAATTGAGTCTCCGGGCAGGCTTCGACGGACGGCGGCGCGGAGGGTGTCCCCGGGCGGGGGGTTCCACGCAGCCCCCGCCGCCCCCGCGGAGGACCCGAGGCTGGGCTGGTCCCTGGCACAATGTTCTTGCAAGGGAGTGCGGCACTCCCAGGAGCCTTGAGGGCAAAGGTGATAATAATCATGGTGTCACGGTTCAGGTGTGTCTAGCCTCAACCGTATGCAGCCATACATACATTAAACCTGCATTAAATACACACTCCTCCCGACAGCCCTCGCCTGCGGCGGGGCGGGTGCGGTTCCCCGGGCTGAGGGACGGGGCGCACGGCCGCACCGACCGTCCCTCCGACCCCGTAGCCCACGTCTGAAATTCCGTGCCTTCAGGAACTTCACCTTCCAAAATCGGATAATCCTCTGGGGACTAGGCTCCGCGAGGGTCTCCCATCACTCGCTCTCGTGAGCGTGCCCGAGCCCCCCGACGTGTTCCAGCCTCTGCAGCACGCCGTGCCAGAGAGTGACACGGCAAAATAGCCGGGCCCTTCTCTGCCCGAGAAGACAGAGCATCCCGGGGGGCTCCGCGCCAGCAGCGGGGCTGCTCCCACACCCGTGGGGAACGGCATCCCCGGTAACGCTCGCGGTCCTCCGGGACCCCTTCGGGCCAAAATAAGGGATGTCACGTCCCCTCGGAGCGGGTGCGCAAACTCGGGACGCGGAACAGAGATGAGCGAGGAGCAGGGTGATCAGGGAGGGGGGAAAGCTGGGGGTTTCCTCCCGCCGCAGCCCCGCTCGTCCCGCAGCCCCAGCGCCGCGGCCCCGCCGCACCGCCGCCATCCGTGGTGCCGGAGCGCCCCCCGGTGGCGGCGCCGGGCAGCAGCGGCGACCGACGGACCGACCGTCCGTCTGTCCGCCTGCCGAGGCTGCCGCTGGGCCCCGGGGCCACCGCTGTGGGGACCGGATGGAAAACAGGGCCGGGAAAGGCGGAGAGAGGGAGAGATGGGGCCATGCCTCAGCGCAGAGCTTGGGAGCCCCGCTCGGAGCGGCCGGGGGCGTTCCGGGGCCGCACTGGGTCCCTTTCGGCTCCGAGCACGACGTGGCTGCGGAGTCATCGCGGGGGCTCCCGCCGGCGTGGAAGGGACCGATAGCGGAGGTTAATATTTAATCAGAGGTCCGCTCCTGGACACTTTTCCGCAGGACTGGGAGATCAAGGACCTGTCAGCAGGAGGACCTGTGTCTCCTGAGCTTCATTTCTGCAACAGACCTGTCATCTACACCAGAAGCGAAATGCTGAAAAGAAAGTGATAACCAGAAGACATGCGCTGACATTTCCAGACACTTTGGAAGCGAGTCAGCTGTCTTTGAGGCACGGCACAGTTTCAGCCCTCTGGTATTGGTAGAATGCACTTTCCAAAAGCAACATCTCCTGCGCTGATAAAACTCCTGACCTATTAAACCCCCTTGCCCAGCTGTTGAGTTGGATTTTCTCGTTTGGCATCATTTTGGCATGGGGAACTGGATTTCTTCCTATCCAGGTCTGATATGGAAAAGCAATATTTCTATGTAATAATACATTTTAAAATTTTTAGTTCCCTGAATGAACACAACAAGAACATGAGTATAAATGTGGTGTGGAAAATAGTTTCTTAAGAATGGACATCAGGGATTGCAATGAAATATCCTTCCACAGGAAGTGAATTAATGCAAATGAGGTATTTTTATCACTTGTGCACTACAACGATATTTTTTTACAATATACGGTGGATTTTTTCATCATAGGATCACCAAGATATTATGTTAATAGGGAAGAGCAATTAGTGCAAAAAATGAAGCTGGAAGAAAATATGTATTGTTCTATGTAAAAGTT